CTGGGAGGAGAATAGCACCACGTCGTTGATCTAGGTAGAGTAGCGCTCCCAAGGTAGAGGGTGAGGGAGTCCTCCTTCGCTTTGCAGTAGAGTGAGGAGATAGCAAGCTGCTGTAGCCAAAAAGCTTCAGCTGCAGCACAGGGGCAGGGGGATGCAAAGGAGATTGTCAGCAAAGAGACCTTGGGAGGCTCCTGGGGAGAGGTGCCATGACCGACGTTTGTGCTTCGCAGGGTGTTGTTCCGACGGCCCAGAGAGCTGCTATCGTGGTCGGAGTGGAACTGCCAGTCTACGACATCACCAAGAAACACTTAATTCTGTCAGGCCTGATGGGTGATACAATATTTGCCCACTTTGTGTGAGTATTTGCCACGGCTGCTGCACTCTCCAAGCTTAGCAGGGGTTGGGAAGCAAGTGTTTAGCAGGGGAGGAAGGTGGGATTTGTGGTGAAATATTTGGTTGGCTCCTAATTAGAGCAGGGTGTAGAGTCATAGAGCAAGTGCTGTGGAGCTGCAGAGGTCAGGCACTTGCAAGGATATCCTGAGTCAACTGGAGCAATTCAAAATGCCCAGCAAGCATCTCTAGAGAGACCTCCCTGTAGAAGGCACCCAGTGGAAAACTGGTGAAGTAAAACTGTGGTTTCAGCTCTCACTGATGTTATGGAAAAGCTGGTCCCAGCTCCCATTGCTCTACAGGATGTAAAATGTGAGCAGCAGGAGTGTCAGGTATGGGACTAACTGTAGCTCCAGTTGAAAGAGTTACTGCAGTCTTAGATCCTCATGTCTACAGGGGCTTTCAGTTTGCAGCCATTGCTGTCTCCCATTCTAAGCTTGAATGTTCAGAGCTGTTCCTCTCTAATGTTTTGGTGCATATAGTTCTAGTTTTACCTGTGGACTTGCTGGTGCCATTGCCTCCAACCCCGTGGATGTGGTGCGGACACGGATGATGAACCAGCGAGCAATAGTGGGCAGCGTGGAGCTCTATAAGGGCACTCTGGATGGTCTTGTGAAGGTAAGGAGGTGGCAGATTCCAGCACCATGTACCACTGATCTTAGCAGTCAGATTCAACTACCACAGACCTTGCTTGTCAGTAGGTGTTTCAGAAAAAATAGAGAAGGGCCTAGAGCCACTTTCCTAATTCCAAACTCACCATCAGTCTGAGCATCCTTCCAACCAACCATACATTATGGAAGAAAACTTTTAGTGTTGCAGTTTTATGGTCTTGGATAAAGTGTCATTTGCAGCCTAGCATGTTGGAGAAGAACTCCAACACCATCTCCAGTGGCCTGTCTGCTTCAGCAACTTTAAAGGTCCATCATCTCACACATGATGCTGAGGAGGGGGCAGACCAGAGACAGCACAGTAGGGGACATGGAGTTGTTTTGTGTTAAGGACTTTGTGGAGGGTTTGTCATGTGTGTCACATTTATTTCATCCTCAAACCATGAACTTGCTGCCCTACCACATTTGATTTTCCTCCAGCAGAGACCTTCCCTGGGCTTGCCACTAACCACAATATCTGACTGTACCTGAAGGGGTGTCGCATAATTGATCTGTCTCTTCTCTCCTCACAGACATGGAAGAGTGAGGGCTTCTTTGCACTATATAAAGGTTTCTGGCCCAACTGGCTTCGGCTGGGTCCCTGGAACATCATTGTATCCTTCAGAGTGGCTACTGGGAGGTCAGGAGTGTGGGGAAACAGGGAAAGTGAGCTCCTGGAGGTGCAGCGGTTTCTGGACTGGCTTCTGTTTGGGGAGAGAGCCTGGGGAGTGTTCTTCTGCTCCAGGATGGGTGCTGGTCTGTTCTGCAAGATCAGTGCTGCTCTGTTGCTCCACTGGCTCCTTGCCCTCTGAAAATATGTCCATAATTTACTTAAAACAAGTCACAACCTAGAAAGTACATGCCTGGGGCTAAAGCTACCTCTTTCTCAATGGTCTAGGCAGGCCCGGACCTTCTGTTTGTGGGTCAGTGTCTTCCCTCTCCTGGTAGCTCTCCTCCCACAGCTTCTTCTTCCATCTGTTCAAGTCATTTTATGCGGCCTAAGAGATGGCCTGCCCCACTTTGGCCACCAGCTGTACCACACTGATGTGTTCCTTGCCTTGCCTCTGGCTGCTGGTGTGGCCTGACCACCGGGGAAGGCCCAGTGCAGGTGCCTGATGGATTTGTCTGCCCCACTTCCTTGACGCTCCTGACAGTTTTTTATCACCTACGAGCAGTTGAAGCGACTTCCATTCTGAGAGCTGGCTTTCTTCCACGAGGACCATCTTCAAGACTTGTGGCAGAGCTTTGCTGCTGCCTCCCTATTCATTTCGCCACCCCCATGTTCTGTTGTTTTGGTACAAGTGCATCTGGACCCTCATCCCCCCCCTAAACTGCATGGTCCCTGGAGCATGTTCTGGCTGGAGTGAAACTGGGAAGTGCAAGGCAGATGCTGCATGGTTTTTTTTTTGTTGTTGTTTGTTTGTTTTTGACACAGAGACAAATATTAACTGTACAAGTGTCCAGGCCTGAAGCGGTATCTTCTGTGAAGATCTATGCGTTCTGGTGGCCTTTGGATGCGGCGATGGTTTGTTGTTTGACTTGTGCATTTCTCTGCCCTGCCTGTGGGCTGAGGCTGGAGGCTGGACAGGGTGCTGTCGTGTTTTCCTGAAGACATGTAACCTCATTAAATTATTTATTGACCGATGGCCTGATTTTGTGTTTGTGTAGATTTACTACAAGTGTATTTCCCAGAGCAGATGGTGTGTCCGCCTTTGGAGAGAACCGAAGCAATTTTTTTTCAGCATGGTACATATCCTTCCTTTTTTTCCCCAAGTATGCTTGTTGTTAGCATCAGAAAATTATGGCGCTGTACTGCCAGCTCAATTTTGCAAAACCTCTGTCTGCCTTATATGATTTACTTGCTTTATTTTTAAAGCAACTTAGAGCAATTTAAAAGTTGAAATAACCATTACTTTGAAATAGCGTGTCTAGTGTGGCCAATGTGAAGCAAGATACTTAGGTCTATTGTTTTCTGCTCTTTTTAAGTACATACGGATGTGCAAGCAAACATGCTTTATCGTTCCTAGTCTCTTTCCACTTTATGGGGCAGGTTGAGTTTGGTCGAGGGTCCCATGTGCCACAGAGTTGTGCTTTCCATCCAGGAGTGCTGTAAATGGAGATTCCATCCATGCAAGTTGAGCAAGAAGCATTCAACCAAATTCAGCTCTGACAAATAAGATAATGACTTTCTATGGTTTTGCAAAGGCATCTTTGTATTGTATTAACTGAATGTAAGGCAAAAGTGCAGAAAACAGATGACTCCAATAAACTATTTGGGGCCAGAAGTAATAGAAGGGAGGGGGGAAAAAGTGTTTGTAGATCTTGTGGTAAGCAGAAGTATTAATATAGGACTGGCACTCATCATCTGCGAGGGACATTTTCAGAGTTGAACTATACTTAAAAGCTGCCAGAACTGGAAGCAGTGATTTAAAACATGGAAAAGGTTCACATGCTCCCCAGTTTTACTCTTGAACAAAATTCAAGTAAGTACTTCTGTATTGATGAATACCAGTCTGAGTCAGAGTATATTTTATATAAGTCTCTATTTTAACTGCATCTTAGTAAATTCTTTGGGCTTCAATGTTTTCATAAGTGCAGCTCTGAAACAATATCCTCTGCGAAGCTCCATGGGGTAGCTGCTGTTGTAATGTTTTGGAGTGGTCCTCCAACAGCGACTCGGTATTTGCAGTTGTCCTGTTGCTGTTCTTCAGATGGGTGTAATGAGCTCCTCAGAAATATGTAAAGAATATGTCTGTGACCATGTCACTGTTTGCATTTCTCAGCTGGAAAGCCGTGGGGACTGTTCTCCCTACTGTTGGATCAGCCCCACACCGATGGCTTTGGAGATGCTCCTTCAACATTTCAGAGCTGTCCCCAGCCCCTGGAGACATTGCTTATCTGAGCTGTTGATCTGCCTGTCATAAACGTTGCCCCATGTCCTTCTGCCATGTTCTGTCAACAGTAACAGTAAATGTACCTCTGCTGGCGCCAGCGATGCCCGCGGATGTGACGCCGAGCAGAGTGGCTGTGAGTGCTGCCGTGCGTTACGGACTTCTGCCACTGCGCCAGATGTCTTCTGGAGAGGCTTATAAAGCCCTTCATGCAGAAAGCATCTCACCTTTGCAGCCCTAACTGAGGAGGAAAAACTGAGTCACTTTGGCTTTCTCAGATGGTGAAAGATTAGTGCTTTGATAGGTGTCTAAAAAAAGAAACAGCCTGTAAACCTCAGTTGTAACTGCTTGTGTGGGGAGCTAGGGCTGTTAGAGGTCTTGTATTTTCTAAGGAGGTTCTTCAGTTCAGGATGTCCTGCCTAGAAGCACTCCCTAAATGTGGCTGAGTTACCTGTTCATGCGAGTGCTCCGTGCTTGGGCACTGTGGCATTTTGTCCATCAAGGTGCATCAGTGTGGCTTTCATTTGGGTTAAAAGGCAAATGGAGTCATATTTTTAAGCTAACGGCTGAGCTATCTACCTGGGTGGGGGGACAAAGTTTTGTACCAAACTGAAACTATTTTGCTAAAAATTCTCCTGTGTTTCTATTTAATTGCAGACAATTGAATTTAACCGCTTCATTCTACTTAAGAAATTTAAAGGATATACCAAAATCAGAGGGTTGGAGTCTCAGGATAAATGTAAGTCTCATCACATCCTCACCACACACACACATGCAAAGGCTTTTAAATATGCTTGGTTCTTGGTACATTAAATATACGATTATGTGATTTATATTTATTCATTTTTAATAGAATGGTGAAGCCTGCCAGGACTTGGGGACTGGTAGATAAGCAAGGAATAAAAGAAGTGCTTGGGGAAAAAAAAAGTGAAGACCGGAGTATTAAAGCTGAATGTTGTCAGTTTTGACTTTGAAGAGCTCAGAGTGATTCCCCGACTGGAGATTTCAGCTAGGGCAGTGAGGAAATCGATCTCCAGCTAAAACACTGGCGGAAGGTTAAGGGACAAGCTGTTAACTGAACAGGAGCAGAATCCAGGCTTCAAACCTTCTGGGAGGTTTTAAAACCAGGAAGGTGGAGTTGATCTGTTTTACTTGGATTTCCAGAAGGCTTTTGATCAAACCCTGTATGAAAGCCATGAAAGAAACTAGGCTGATTCTCAAGGGCCTTCCCTGGCATGCGGCTCTGCTTACGTGGCCGCGCTTGGTATTTCTGCTGTGCCTTTGCTCCCTGCTGTGGAGTCACACTCTTCCTTTTGGCCGTGTGCTGTCCTCGACCCGTTGTTCCCCTCGGCCACCTCCATGCTCTGGGCCACATCCTGCGCTCGGCCCTGCTCTCCACCTCTCCCTGGCAGCCTGCTCCTTCCAGGTTACTGTTTGACAGAGCGAGGCCTGAACCTTTCCCGTTTCCTGGCAGCTCTGATCTTTCCAGCTCATGAGGCAGCAGTGGTGGCTTGTGGCACTCTGTTCCAAGGGCTCAGGGTGGTTTTCTTGGTCGCTACAGAAGAAGAGCACACAGGGTCTGACAGTGACCCTGCAGAGCCCTGTGAGCCACCTACACATCCCAGTGGGGCTGCCCAGTTGGTTCTCTATTTGCTTGTTCCTCTTTTCTTGATAGGGGAAGACCTGAGTGAAAAGCAGAGCATTAATCCTGCGTGAGTCCGCAGTGCTTGGCTGGGATGCCCAGCTCCCTGCGGGCCACTGCAGCAGTTCCCCTGAACAAGCAGGGAGCAGGGCATGATCCCAATGCCCACATGAGGCTTTGAGCCAGTTTCAGGAGTGAAGGTGATGCCGGAGAGGCTCGTGGTGGAGGTCCTGCGGAGGGAGCTGTTGAAGCTGCGTGTGCAGGGGCTGTCAGGAGGGAGCGTGAGCAGCAGGTTTGACAGGGGAGCAGCCTCGGCACCACCTTGTGCAGGCTTCCTGTCCAGGTGCTCGCTGCTCGCCACCCTGCTCCAGGGTTGTCTGGAAACGCGGCGTGAGGGGAGGGACCTCTGTGGGCACGGCAGGCGCTGGGAGAGCCCCACTGCCTTCTGGCACGGAGCAGCAGAGC